TTTGGTTTGATAAAACGGCTCACAATGAGGATAGAAATGTATTTTTAAAAATCTTTCTCATAAGAACTGTCCTCTGACCATGGATGCGTTGGAAACATTTCGGTATGGTAGATTTGCGTGGGACGAGAAATCTACGCTTTATCTTAAGTGCGAACGTTGCTCAGAATGAATCTGAAGAGTATCATTTCCAGCGGTCAGATAGCAGATTTTGGCTAGTCTGTCGTTATTAACATGCTGTCGGCGACAACGGCTAAACGGCAAAAATAGCAGAGGTGAAAACGGTATGCGAAATCTAGGTGTAAACTTTATCGTTTCGATAACGGCCATGGAATTTGCGTTTGATTAGTTCTGATGTCCAGTCTTTTGTTTAAGATATTCTCTGAACTTGTGTAAAGAAAATCAGCAAATGAAGTTTGGTCGTAAATAAAGCGCCCCTTCCCCGACTTTAAGCTTTTTGATCTCAAAAACTGTTGAAAAAACGGTTTGTTTAGACACAACGCAAAAATATGCTCAGTCCCTTAACAGTACTGACGTTTCGGACTGTCTCACGGGCCTTCTTCAAAGTAAGGACGTTGGTTGACTGACTTCGACAGTCCTACCGTAGTTCGCAGCGGCTGGTGAATGTGGAGACAGAAGACAAGCGTTTAATTCGTGCTGCTGGTAGTTTCTTGGTTACAGGGGCGACAAGACTCACCCAGTCTGCGCAGAGTTCGTATCCTTTGTTACGGTTGGCGTTGTTGCAGAACGGGATGATTAGTACCTCCTTGACGCCCCTGTTTTTGGTCAGTGTCTTTCTTTGATGATGCCGGTACCATCAAGGGATGTCCTCGCAGCGCCAAATGCTGCAAATTCCGGAGGTCTCTTTGCATGGCTCCTTGACTTCGTTGTCATAGGCGTGGTTTGCTGATAATATGCTGATTTTAGATCCTTAGATTGCTTTCTCTGAAAAAGGACGCTGGTTTAATATCATACAGCGTCTACTGAGATGCCCACTGTGTGAGCCTTTGAAGCAGTGTTTATTGAAAATCCGTGGCATATTTAAGGGAAACAGCTTCTCTCAGCAGAATAAATGGCGGTTTCATGTGCTGTATATTTTCTAAACACTATCCAATTTTTTCTCGCTTTTGTGCCTTTGTGTGGTGAACCGATTGACAAATTTCGGTAGTTGATGTCATTTTAGAAAAACTCTGTCTTC